AAAAAACACACCAAGCCTCCGTATATATATGAAACTAAATCAGAAAAGTTCAAGAAAAATATTACAGAAACAGAATGATATGCAGACAAGATTAACACTTCTTAATTTAAGTTTTTAAGCACATTAAAACAGTCATTATTTATACATAAACATTTCATTCGAATGAAACCTCACATATTTGTACAACAATCGAGACCCCAGAATCTATCCACTAGTAAACGAGTTTTAGTTTTAAACGGTCATTTTGATCTTCTTAACAAAATCTGAAAAGTCTGAACCTAAAATATAAAAACGTTTAGTTGCATTCAAGTTTAATTTATTTTTCAGATATATTGCGGCTGTGAATGCAGCACCTTTCAGACATTTGACTTGCGGTCAACCCAGTACTGTTCATTGGCTTTTCTGACAATTCATTATGTTAGTGTTTACAACTACTGAACAGTCGGAAAAAAGCCTGAACTGATCTTAATTGACTGAAAGCGAATGGCCTGAACAGTACTGAATTTACCGCAGTGGATTAGTCTGAAATTAGTCTGAAACACTAAACATGACTGAATAATTTATTGTTCCGTCTTTTAAGAGTTGTTAAAATTAAAATATTATATATTTCAACAGTTGTTTTTCTAGTGATGAAATCTATAAAAAAATTAATTTCAGAATCTAATAACGAGTAATCGCTTTTGTTAAAATATTTTTGCCTTCCTATTTAACCCTGGAGAAACCTTTATTTTTAATTTGTGGCTAGTGGCTTATAGTCTAGTCAATCTACGAGCAACAAAAACTACACGAGTGCTTTTATGTCCAGGATATCATCATATGTGATATATTAAAAGTCTTCCAAGTTAAAGTGGTGGAAAAAGATGATTTTGGTTTAAAATTATTTTTAAATAAAAATTCAATGAAAACTGTGAAATTTCAATATGTATGTTGTATGCGTAGCAACATCATTTATCACAATATAACTTTTTAGAATCACAAACCTGATTGTATAAGGAAACTGACAAAATTTCATGATCGTACTTGGTAATTTGAGGCAAAACTAAGATTTATCATAAAATCTCCGAAAATCGGAAACCGGAAATTTCTGATATGTATCTCTAATTGAAAGATTACAAATACTATTGTATAAGGAAACTGACAAAATCTCATGACCAGAAATTGCTATCTAAGATTTTTATCAAGACAATTCTGAAAACAGGAAACCGGAACATTTGTCAAATGTCAAATGTAATGTAAATTAAGATTGTTTCTAAAATATATACTGAGTACGTTGATAGATTTAAAATCTCTCATGACAAACCTTATTTATGATAAAAAGATTAGTTAAAAGCTTCCCTTTTTGTGGGAAGGGGGATCATCCAAAAATTGAAGAGTAATTAAATGATTATTGTGATTCTGTCGTAATCTCCGTTGCAAAGACTTTTCTGAAAATCGTATAGCTATGTTTAAATTGACCTCGAGCCTGAAAAGTAGCAGGGAGAAGAAATAGTTGAAACTGATTACGTCGAGTTATTGAAACCGTTTAAGTTTGGCTTTTACGCAGATAATAGCTGTTAGATTCTGAATCAAAGTGTGGCATATATTATATCTGTAAGAAAACCCTCCACTGATTATTAATGTGTATGTGTATGATAAGGAGATGTGGTGTGATTGCTACATCAGACAACTATCTTCTTAAGTCCAAATTAATGTAACCAACAATAGATCACCATACGCAGGCGATCAACGTGAGCAAAACCCATACCGTAACAAAATTCAATTCAAACGAGAAAACTAACGGCTTAATTTATGAAAAAACAAATAAACGGAAAACAAGTATGACATACAGCCTTCATCGACAACCACTGAATTACAGGATCCCAACTTGATCCATCGAATGAGAAAACCATTATAAATTGTATCAGTATGCTGTTTGTTTTCAATCTTTTAATTTTAGTTATGCAAAAAATCATTGACATACAGGTGAAACGATAATTAACATTTTTTCAATCTGACATGGAATCGAACAAACTTAGAAAAATCCTCGTAATTATTCAACTGCACGTTGTTGTCCTTCTATTGATATTTATGTTTATATTGGCTACTCAATATTGAGTTTTCTGCACATTGTCATTATTTTTCTGACTTTTTTTTTGACAATGGATTACCTTATCTTCAATTTCAATTCAAATGTTTTCGTATCGAATATTACAAACATAACTGATTAAGCTTAGATGTAACTCTTCCTTGAAATTTGACATAATTAAATCATATCATTAATTTATATATGCACGAATCTTACTTAAATTTGTGTTAGTCAAAGATTGCTTCCATAGTACACGTGTAGATCATAGTGTTTCACTACAAAAAAAGTTTCAAGTTAATTATCCAGAGAAAGTATACTGACAATTTTGTAGAAAACAAATTTTTATTTGTTTCAACAGTGTTGATGGAAAACTTTTGCAGGTTCACTAGACAATAGCGTACCTTCTATAATATTCAATGATAAAAAAATACTCAGTTCCAAACATGGTAAAAAACTGAGAAAAGGGAATTAGAAAGTGTCATAAATTAAAAGGAAACTTCTCAAATCTATGTGCAATTAATGTGAAAACGTTGAATAATGAAGAGGGGAAAACCATTGTAGTAAGCGGTGACACTAACTGGTTACCATCTGAATCTGTCTGAAATAGGAGGTACACATTTTCAGTATAAGTGCAAATCAATGTATAAGGTTTGAATAATACCGAAGGAAAACCGTTTAAGCTTGGCATGAGACAAACTAGTTACTCTCATTGTGTTTCAGACAGACAGAATGACGGATGGTCAGAGTTAAGCAGTTACCAGACCTGTTTGTGCCAAAGATCTCGAAAGGTCGATGAAAAAGAAAGTAGAATGAAGCATTGTCAGATCCTAGTGAACGAAGCGTGGACACATAATCTGTAATTCAATCAAATTACACTCGTAAATTACAGAATGGTGTGACTATGAAATAAGAACATCTGACCTGATTCCATATTGTTGTATCATGCTAATTTGTCATTCTTTTTCATAGATCTCTTTCCTGCTTACCTTCAATACCGGCGATATCAAACAATTTGCATTAGAACAATCTTAGTTGGGTGCCAAAATAGTGAGCACTTTTTGGTGTTGTTAGAAATACAGTTTGGGGAATGAGACGAAAAAGGTAGGATGAAATGATATAACTACCAATGTACGACTATTTTATTCCTTCTGATATGTGACGAGCCACGATGTTTCCAGGCTTATAGGGATACCTTATCCAGTGCATACTGAAACAATCATGACCTATTTGATGTAGTAACAGTGACATGGGTCTTTTTGACTATCGGGATAATGATACTGTGTTCGATGACGACTTTTTGTTATCGAAGGCATTAATTTCTTAACTACAAAATTATTGTATTTTATTGACGCTTAGTAATCTCCAACATTGTATTTGAATACAAATTTCAAATTAAGAAAATTTACTACAATACAAACAGTTTTTTGCTCTGTTTCAGAAATGTAAATAAAACTTATTAAATGAAGGTAGTAAAACATTTGTCAAAGAAAGCTTTCAGATATATTTTTTTAATTTGTCTTTTAACTGATATTTATGAGGCATGTCGCTACACCACATAGCATGCGAAGCGCAACAGTTTATAAGTAATTGTTTACAAAATAAAATTTCATATATGCATTTGATGTCTGTACCAAGTCAGAAATATGACAGCTGTTTTCCATTCGTTTGATGTGTTTGAGCTTTTGGATTTTGCCATTTGATAAGGGACCCTCCGTTTTGAATTTTCCTTGAAGTTCGGTATTTTTGTTATTTTACTTTTTGAAACGGTGCATTAATTACGATATATTTTAGATTCCATTTATGAAAATCTATAGTTCAGGGATTTTTTATTTTTTTTATCAATTTCATATGTAGATTCAAATATTTTTCAGTTCAAACGATAACGTTAAACTACTTCAGTTCAGAACTTATGTATGATGTATAGTTGCCAGCAAAAAAACAAGTTATAAGGTAAACTGTTAATATTTTTCTTCACAAATACTTCGAAATGAAAGTTTAACATTATTAAATTGAATCTCGAGGAAATTGAAGGAACCATTTGAAAACAGTTATAAATTTGTAAAATGATTAATTTACTTTCAATTGATATATAATTTTTACCGGGCTTCATCTTAGAAGTCAGAGGCGGATTTTTACATCAATTTCTTTTCTTTTTTTTTAGTTAGGGGAGGGGGTCTGGGCCGCAGCTGTATATATGATAAATGCAAAACAAAATTTCAAATGCCACTTACTATCTGCAATGGTACCTTACCCCTTTAAAAATCCTTGATCTGCAACTTGAAGTTAATTACTCATATGTCTTAAATCTACCGTGCAAACCTTTCTTACAACTTCTTTGAAATTTATTGATAAATACTGTCTCTTATCTTTTCTGTTTACTTAATTATGGAGTAACTGTACACCGCATTAAATCACGTCAATCGTTTTATACCAACCGACTGTCCCTAGTATAGATAAATGCATTTTCTTCCTTTAAATCCATTTAAGACGCTTGTAATCTTATGGAACCTACAATATTTTACTGTTCATGACACTGTTATGTAACAAAAAGCGTTGAAAGTAAATATATGATGGGAGCGGGAGTATTAAGAGGCTCTGACTTTATAAAAAGAAAGAAAATGTGGTATGATTGCCAATGAGACAATCTCCACCAGAGACCAAATTACGTAGAATTTAACGACCTATAGGTCATCGTACGGCCTTCAACAATTACTTTTTAAGATAAATTGAAACTGAATAGATATACAAACGGCTTGTCACTTATACTTTCCACCTTCTAATAGATTTTAGAGAATATAATTAGTTGAGCAATGTCACGTGCTGGACGCGTATGTGTACAAGAGTTGTTCATATTTCCAGGCATCTGTTAAATATTCATAGCTAGTAAAATATATTATTGTATTTTCCAAGAATCAGGTAGTCGGATGGATATAAATATTACACAGTCTATCAACATGGTATACACATGTCTTATCCACAAACAATTTACTAACTGTGTATATACCACTTTAGGTAATTGACGCCTCGTGTAATATATAATAAAATGACATTGTTGGAGACTCAAGGAGTGTAAACGAAATCCTGATTACACGAGGAGGGGCGAACTGGAAAAAACAGTGCAAATGTTAGACATGCTAAGCATCGTTGTACAGTTGAATTAATCGATTCAATATTAAGGTAGTAACATTTATAATCAATATATCTTTCGTACGTCTTTCTAGGAGTAGAAAATATAGATATTCAATTTTTTATCAAAAATTATAGGACATTCGAGACAAATGATTGCTATTACGACAGCGACAGCAATGTATGAAATGATTGAAAAGGACGATAACGCTTATTAAATTTAGTACGTACAAATGTCCATATGTAATAGTACATATACGTATTGCAGGGTTCTTTTGATCATGAGGTTTTTTTCTGAGGTTATTATGAGGTTAAGCTAGCTATAAAACCAAGTTCAATGCACCATGTTCTACATAAAAAAAAAATGCCAGTACCAAGTCACGAATATGACAGTTGTTATCCATTCGTTTGATGTGTTTGAGCTTTTGATTTTGCCATTTGATTAGGGACTTTCCTTTTTGAATTTTCCTCGGAGTTCAGTATTTTTGTGATTTTACTTTTTCATGTACCATTGGCAATGCTAGCTTTAAGTGGTACCTGGAGTTAAAGATTTATCTTAAAGATTTTCAACATACAATTCTATCATGATCTGTAATCCAGGCGAGACATTTCAGAGTGTCAACTCTTTTTAAATTTTAGTACGAATGATAAGGGTAATAGATTATTTCGATCAATCATTGTCAGGAATTCAAAGCAGAAGTAAAGACATTTACCTTGGAATTTTTAATACTCCCCAAATAATGTGATACCTTTTTAAATTGCAGTAATACTTAGTTCAATATTCCAACCCTTAATTGAACGTTTTTAAGAGTCTCCTTAAAGTACATATTTTCAGGCAAACTAAACATGATTGGACGACATTTCGGATTTTGGTATTTTAAACAAATTTTTGAGAAATCGCAAATTAAAGTTGAATATGCATATTTTTTAAACCTTTTTCATACATACATTTTTAGACATTTTTCACAAAATTATAATTCACTGTATATCTTGAAAATTTAAAGCTACAAGCATGTATACCATTTTTTTCGACAATCAAACCGTTGTTTTACGACCTCTAAATGCATACAAATGTCATCAAAATACGAAATATCGCCCAATTACGTATATTTTACCTGAAAAATATGAAAAAAAATGCTTAAACTATTGTACTTCAAGCAAAATAATGAATCGATTTTTCTCTAATGTTTTTATTTAAAAAAAAACATGTGATGCCGACTAACCATAGTTGTCCCGCCCCTGTTGATAATCAGTTTGGGCATCCGTTAAACTGTAGATGTCATGTACAAATGTATGCCTATTTGTTTATATTTTTGGCAAAGGTAACAACACATTCTTTATCTCAGACGATGTTTGAGTATATTGCTGCAAACTGCCCGTGAGAAAAAAAAATAATGTTCAAATACACTTCGTATAGACAATCTGCTGGAATCCTAACATACACAAAATTGCAATATTGTTTCTTGAAGTCTTCCATTTCTATTCTCAAATCGTAAAATATATATGAAAACAAGATAAATGAATGTTACAGTAATGGAATCTATTTAAAGTGGTTATTCATATGAAATGTAATCAAACAAAAACTTACATGACATTACATTTAATTTTCTGTGTAGGCTTTTATTAACCATTTTATAGATATAACAGTGTTAGAAAAATATCATATTGTAATCATATTTCACGTTTATCATTTATTGTCCCGTGAGGTGACATTTTACCTTAGGTCCCTATAAACAATAGAAACCTTATACTACTCCAACTAATACTTATTATATTGACAAAGCAGACTTCTGCATGGTCAATATTGCCAGGATCCGTTTATGTTGAATTCAGTTTGTTCTAATGTAAATTATTTTGATCAATTCACAATAAGCTTCCATTAGAAATAAAGCTACTATTAAAAGAATATAACGCAAACTTTTTTTAATACTACCAGAAATATATATCTTATTATTCAAAATGCCTAATTTACAATTATCACACTTTTGTAGATATTAATAAAAATCTTGAATAATGACAAGACGTCAGTGATAAAATTTTGAGGTACTTTAGTGAATTTATTATCGTCTCCTATTTTCAAATTTTGATTGGTAAGAAGAAAATTTCGGTTCTTTGCTACTGCGTTTTAATCATTTAGATTGGCAAAATTCTCTCATGCCGATTTCATTAAAAAAAAATATAATAACAAAAATACCGACCTCCAGGTAAATTCAAAAGGGGAAGTCCATAAAAACCGTCAAAAACAAACGTTAGACTTTATCAACCAACGAAACGAATGGCAAACAACTGTTATTTTCGTGACTTATAAGATGTGAACATCGGTTAACTACTGTTGCCTTAATTTACCTCATTATTCAGCATCTATTCTATTATACATAATGATGACTTGATATTGAAATTCTAACGATTAAATGTCGAATTTAATCACCATTGCACCTGCATTGATACTGCTCACATTCTCTGGAACCTGCATTGATCCGGCTTTTGGTATGACGTGTAAAATGAATATTCATGTTTAAGTTTTCTGTGTATTGTTTCATGTAATGTTTTCTGTCTTATCGACTTTTTTCTTTTGGTCATGATGTTTTTTAAGAGTTGTTAAAATTATAATGGCCGTTCCATTTCAATAGTGGTTTTTTTATTGATAAAATTTATAAGAAATTGATTTCAGAATCTAATAATGAGTAATCGCTTTTGTTAAAATATTTTTGCCTTCCTATTTATCCTTGGAGAAACCTTTAATTTTAAATTGTGGCTAGTGGCTTATAGTCCAGTCAATCTACGAGCAACAAAAACTACACGAGTGTTTTTATGTCCAGGATATCATCATATGTGATATATTGAGCCTTCCAAGTTAAAAGTGGTGGAAAAAGATGATTTTGGCTTAAAATCATTTTTAAATAAAAATTCAATGAAAACTGTGAAATTTCAATATTTATGTTGTAAGTGTAGCAACATCATTTATTACAATATAACTTTTTAGTATCACAAACCTGATTGTATAAGGAAACTGACAAAATTTCATGATCGTACTTGGAACTTTGAGGCAAAAACTAAGATTGTATCATAAAATATCCGAAAATCGGAAACCTGAAAATTTCTGATATGTATCTCTAATTAAAAAGATTACAAATACTATTGTATAAGGAAACTGACAAAATTTCAAGTCCAGAAATTGCTATCTAAGATTTTTATCAAAACATTTCCGAAAACAGGAAACCGGAACATTTGTCAAATGTCAAATGTTATGTAAATTAAGATTTGTTTCTAAAATATATACTGAGTACGTTGATAGATTTAAAATCTCTCATGACAAACCTTATTTATGATAAAAAGATTAGTTAAAATCCTCCTTTTTTGGGAGGGGGGAGAGGGATCATTCAAAAATTAAAAAGTAATTAAATGATTATTGTGATTCTGTCGTAATATCTGTTGCAAAGACTTTTCTGAAAAATCGTATAGCTATGTTTAAATTGACCTCGAGCCTGAAAAGTAACAGGGAGAAGAAATAGTTGAAACTGGTTACGTCGAGTTATTGAAACCATTTAAGTTTGGTTATTACGCAGATAATAGCTGGTAGATTTTGAATCAAAGTGTGGCATATATTATATCTGTAAGAAAACCCTCCACTGATTATTAATGTGTATGTGTATGATAAGGAGATGTGGTGTGATTGCTACATCAGACAACTATCTTCTTAAGTCCAAAATAATGTAACCAACAATAGATCACCATACGCAGGAGTTCAACGTGAGCAAAACTATACCATAACAAGTGTGAAACAATTCAAACGAGAAAACTAACGGCTTAATTTATGAAAAAACAAAAAACGGAAAACAAGTATGACATACAGCCTTCATCGACAACCACTGAATAACAGGATCCCAACTTGATCCATCGAATGAGAAAACCATTATAAATTGTATCAGTATGCTATTTGTTTTCAACCTTTTAATTTTAGTTATGCAAAAAATCATTGACATACAGGTGAAACGATAATTAACATTTTTTCAATCTGACATGGAATCGAACAAACTTAGAAAAATCCTCGTGATTATACAACTGCACATGGTTGTCCTTCTATTGATATTTATGTTTATATTGGCTACTCAATATTGAGTTTTCTGCACATTGTCATTATTTTTCTGACTTTTTTAACAATGGATTTACTTATCTTCAATTTCAACTCAAATGTTTTCGTATTGAATATTACAAACATAGCTGATTAAGCTTAGATGTAACTCTTCCTTGAAATTTGACATAATTAAATCATATCATTAATATATGCACGAATCTTACTTAAATTTGTTTTAGTCAAAGATTGCTTCATAGTACATGTGTATATCATAGTTATAATAGAATTCTTAGTTGTTTCAATTGCAAGACTAGTTGACTAATGTTTCACTTCAAAAAAGTTTCAAGTTAATTATGCAGAGAAATTATGCTGACAATTTTGAAGAAAACAAATTTTTATTTGTTTCAACAGTGTTGATGGAAAACTTTTGCAGGTTCACTAGACAATAGTGTACCTTCTATAATGTTCAATGATAAAAAAAAAAACTCAGTTCTAAACACGGTAAAAACTGAGAAAAAGGAATTTTAAAAGTGTCATAAGTCAAAAGGAAACTTCTCCAGTCTATGTGCAATTAATGTGAAAAAGTTGAATAATGAAGAGGGAAAAAAACAATCTAGTAAGCGGTGACACTAACTGGTTACGATCTAAATCTGTCTGAAATAGGAGGTACACATTTTCAGTATAAGTGCAAATCAATAAATAAGGTTTGAAAAATAATGAAGGAAAACTGTTTAAGTTTGGCATGAGACAAACTAGGTACCCTCATTGTGTTTCAGACAGACAGAATGACGGATGGTCATAGTTAAAAAATTACCAGAACTGTTTGTTCCGAAGATCTCGTATGGTCGATGAAACAGAAAGTAGAATGAAGCATTGTCAGATCCTAGTGAGCGAAACGTGGACACATGATCTATAATTCAATCAGATTGCCTTGGATGCCCCCCCCCCCCCCTTTCTCCCATAGTGTACTCATTAA